TTGCTTAGGGATGGCAGGGGGTGGGCATGAGGGTGGGAAGCTGAAATTGGGTGGAAAACAAGATAACAGCTAAAGAAACATGGGTTTCTTGTGAAATGATGCAATGTTCTAAAATTGACTGGGGTGATGTTGCACATATCTATGAACATACTGAATATACTGAAATATATATCACTTATATGATATACTAAAATATGTGCTACTTATACTAAAACTCCCTGAATTATATACGTTAAATAGGTGGCTTTTATGGCATGTGAATCATGTCTCAATAAGGCTACTTAATGTCTTGTTTAAAATACCCTCACACATCTGAAGAGATCTTATTCTTTTGGTTGTAATGTATGAAATGATTACAACAACACATATTCAAACTCCTGAAAACGTTCCAGGTAAATATTTGAAACTATGAATATCTTGAAAGTAGAAAAACTTAAGATGAAGGCATCAAGGAACTTCTGGGGGACATAAAATGCAGTGATTGTTTAAGATGTATTAGGGGGCATTAAGTAATTAGATTCATGGGGGTGGAATGTAAGCAAGGAGGGTTAAAGTGTTCATGTGAAAAGCTTCAGCCTGGAAGACCCCCTTCTTTCCAGGTTGCAGTGACTCTGAAAGAACAACATTTCTTCATGTGCACTGTAAACATTATTTTTAAGGAAGCTAAAAATAACCCCCCATATGATTTACTCCAGTAACAAATAGGAAGTCAAGTAAATAATAAAGAGCCAAATAAAAAGAGATTTAAGGAAACACATAAAAAGCTAAACCAGTTCCCAGGAATGGCTACTGGGAAGTTTCAACAATCAGCATGTGTTATTGCTTTTTACAGGCAGAGGATAAGATGATATGATCCGTGCATAGCTCACAATTCCACTACTGAGACATTTCAACCTATGTCGTTTTCAGTCCAAATAAAGTCCGTTTCTGTGTTTGCCTTGTGCAATATGCCAGTTAATCTATCCTAGCTCATTGCAGAGCTCCTGGTATTCATGATCTGGAGGGTCCATACCTTCCCCGACTTGAAGAATCACCAATGCCAGCGATAAGGAAATGCCGGGTGGCATTAGGAATATTTTTGATCCTCAGTAAATCTTTGCTCCTTCCTTGCCCATTGCAAACAGTTTGGTTTGCCATCTAGCTGGTTCTCGGTACCTCATACAGCACTGTGCTCCAGTTTCAAAGCAAAATTAGGGCCAATATGTGGTGGTGGGTGAGGGGCGGGGGGGGGTGCAAGAAGAAAAACAACCAAAGGTTGTTCTAGGTTTTCCTACAGAGCCTCAGATTTCAAAATGAACGCCGTTGAAGCTAAAATGACCCAGATTTGAGGGAGAAGGGGTGAAGAGGGTCGATATTCATTCCCCTGTGGGATAGCTGTAGCTTGGTTATGGGAATAAGGAATTAGGGGAGATGGGGTCATTTACATGAAAAGAGAAATAACGGAGAATGGTCTTTAAGTACCACGCACCTCTCCCAGTGAATCACTGCAGTGTCAGCCCTGCACTGATCCCATGATTTGCCAAACAGGATGAGGTAAGGCACAAGCCTGGAGCCCCCTCCTCCTCCTCCTCTCTGCTCCCCCGCGCAGAAAGGCGCATCCCTCCGCGAGGTGCACCACACAGCTCCCCGCGGCCCTGGCTGAGGGGCTGACGTCACCCTTCTGCATTGAGCTTCAAGGACCGGTGGCAACACTGGACAGATGGGGAGTAGAGTTGGGGCGCTATCTCTAACACCAAGTGGAGGGGACCCTCCCCCAGGGCGCTACGGATTGTGTTCATGCAGTGACAGAATGACCAGATAGGGAGTGTAAGGTTGCAGGGAGGTGGGAAAGGAATCCAAAGACTCATCTCTTGGGTCACCAAGAAACCTCAAAGATGCCCCAGGCTTATGTAAGACCCTCTCCCTTTCGTGCGCCTCCACGCGGTGACAACGCCTGCTCCCCAGCGTGCGCTTGTAGGACTCTGGTCGCCCTTGCCCAGCCAGGCAGGCACAGTGCTTCTGGTGCCTCCCTCCCACAGACCCGTGGGGTCGGGAATAACTGGGAATCCGAGATTAAACGCCACGCTCCCGCGTCCGCTCCTAGCCGGCCACAGGTTAGCTCCAAGAGGCTCCGCGAACCCGCTGGTAGGGGAAGGGAGAGAAGGGTGTACAGCGAGGAAAACAGACGAATAAACCCGCAACTTTCCCCAGGAGCTGACCCTATCCCGGGTGATTAAAAAAAAAACTAATGCGTTAAAAAATTTGTTGGAAGGTCAACAACCTGCAGTCACCACCACTACGCAGCCCCTTGCAGCCTGCGCGGAGCGAGGTCCAGGGTTCCAGCAGCCCCGACCCGCACCTTGGCATCCTGCATCCCCGACCCAGCACCCCGTGCCTGTCTCCTTAAAGAGGGGTCCCAGATTTGATTTTGGTTTGGGTTTTCCTCCCCACTTCCTTTCTCACAGCATCATCATAGGGACCGATGGACAGCGGCTCGGCCACTGGCCCGGCTTGGGTACTCACCCAGAAGACGAAGGAGTAGATGATGAGGAGGGTTTTGAGACAGGTTATCACAGGTTTGGTCTCCATTCTCCTCGATGCCATACTACAGAGCTCCGGCGGCGGCAGCGGCGGCAGGCGGAGGGCGGGCGCGCGGGAGGGGGGAGGAGGCGGGGCGGGGCGGGGCGGGGCGGAGGCGCGTGCCGCGAGAGGCCTTGTGAGCGCGCAGGCGAGGCCGTGCGCTTGCTTGAGCGAGCACCGCGCGGGGCTCCTACTGAAAGAGCCGGGCTGGGCAGCGACTGCGCATGCGGGAAATGCAGCCCGCGTCCGCAATCCCGCGCAGGCTCAGATCCTCAGCGGAGGAGAGAGGAGAGGCGAGGCGAGGCGAGGCGAGGCAAAGCAAGGCAAGGAAGGCGACGCGAGGCGAGATGGGGCGCGGCGGGACGGGAGGGAGGGAAAGGGGGAATTTAGAGGCAGGGTCAGAGGTCAACGGAACCTCTCCCAGTCCTCCCTGGCATTTAGATTTCTGCTTTGTACACAGTAGGGCGTTACGTTTGCAGGGATGTCTGCACCTGGCTATGGGAAATTTATGGGTGCCCCCCAAGTCAGTCACGTTTCTGCATTTTGACACCCACCAGGGCCTTCTCACATGGAAGTGGCCCAGTAGTCATGTCCTTGGCAACAAGCAGACCTTGTCTATGCCAGGAACAGACTGACAGGTGGCCGGAGATACAGCTGGAGGGATGGACAGGAATCCTCCATTTTTTAGATATTTCTTACATTTCGAAATGTAAAACGAAATGGCAAGAAAGGTCTGTATGAGGCACCGTTCTTCCTACACGTACAATGTTTAACAGATAACAGAAAAATATTTAATATACCTGAGAATCATTTGCCGCACCCTAACAAGTACAGACCACCTCCCTTTTGTAAAGGAGAGCCGCATCGAGATAAAAAAATAATGTTCACAACCAATATGGAGTTCCTTAAAAAGTTGTACATAGAGTTTGCATATGATCCAGCAACTCCATTCCTGGATATTTCCCAAGAGAAATGGAAATATATGCTGACACAAAACTATGTATATGAATGCTTATAGGGGCATTATTCACAATAGCCAAAATTGGAACCAACTCAAATATCTGCCAGCTGATGAGTGGTTGAGTAAAATTCGATGAATCCATACAATGGAAAATTAATTGGCCACAAAAAAGAATGAAGTACCACTGATCAATGCTGCAACGCAGATAAACCTTGAAAATACGCTAAGTGAAAGAAGTCAGACACAAAAGATCACATATTGAATGATTCATGTATAGGAAATATCCAAAATAGACAAATCCATAGAGACAGAAAAGAGATTAGTGGTTGCAGGTAGTGGGAGGAAGGAATGAGGAGTGACTCTTAATGGTTAAGGGGTTTCTTTTTAGAGTAATGAGAATGTTCTGGAATTACATAGTGATGGTGGTTGCACAATAATGCGAATTGCTAAAAACCACTGAGTTGTACACTTTAAGAGCATGACTTTTATGATACATTAATTATATCACAATAAAAATGTACATTCCACCCAGATGTGGTTTATAGAGAAACACACAGTACAGATTCAGCGGGAGATTTAGCTTGATTGCTGAGACTCTAGTCAAAAGAAAAAAAGCAACACTATCACAGGTGAACTCAATCGTGAATGATGATATTAAAGGTACCTTTTGTGAAAGATTAAAAAACAAAGTCAATAAGGCTTGGGAAAAACCTGCCAAGGTCAGTAGTTATAGGAGTAATTATTACCTCTATCAAGTTATAATGGTCTCAGGTCAATAAGGTCACTGTATAAATAGGACACAAATCTGAGGAACAGGAGAACCTATTTAAGGAAATTATCAACCATAACAAAAGGGTATGTGAGCATAGAAGGGTGGAATATCGATGCAGGTGAAAGAAGGGACAGATTGAGCAAGCTGTCTATTATAAAAGGATCTTGGGCCGGGTGTGGTGGCTCACACCTGTAATCCCAGCACTTTGGGAGGCCAAGGCGGGTGGATCACAAGGTCAAGAGATCGAGACCATCCTGGTCAACATGGTGAAACCCCCGTCTCTACTAAAAATACAAAAAAAAAAATTAGCTGGGCATGGTGGTGCGTGCCTGTAATCCCAGCTACTCAGGAGGCTGAGGCAGGAGAATTGCCTGAATCCAGGAGGCGGAGGTTGCGGTGAGCCGAGATCGTGCCATTGTACTCCAGCCTGGGTAACAAGAGCGAAACTCCGTCCCAAAATAAATAAATAATAAAAGGATCTTGCCACACTGATTCTCAATGCTGGATGCTCATTTGCATCATCAATTATGAATGCCTGTGCCCAACCCCAGCTATTCTGAGTCATTTGGTGTGGGGTGAAAGCTTAGTTGTTTATAAGCTCTTCAGGTGGTCTGAATATGAAGCAAGAGTTGAGCTTCATTGAGCTGTACTGTGATGAACTTAAACCCAACTTCAGAGAGGATCTTTCTCTTTCATTCTTACAGTCTCCAGGTGATTCCAACTGTTGCAGCAGCAGGGAAAGGATACTGAAGACTTCAATCCCAGCAAGTATCCTTAGGATCAGAAGGTCGTGGCCACGTATAATTATTCTGTGAAGGGGTCAGAAGTCTCAATGTTCAGTCCAACAGTGACACTGCTAAGCATCATAATTTGGTGAGTTAATATATAACATTCACAGAAGACACCCATCAGTGTAAACTAACTATCTCAGTTTGGAGCATTTTTGGAATATCTCTTAGGTCCAGATTCTTGAAAACTTGGACTGTTCTAGCAAAAATGCACCATTTAAATGTAAAAATAAATATGAATATTCAGTAATGTAATTAATAGATAAGTTAACATAGCTTGTAGCTAGATCCTTGCTCTCCAGTTGTGGCCTGTGGCATATATATATATAGGGTGACAAGACATCCCAGTTTGCCCAGGACTGAGGGATTTCCCTGCATTCAGGATTTTCACTGCTAAAACCAGGAAGGTCTTAGGCAAACCAGAACATGTTGGTCACATTATCCCTGAGCTGGTAGTATTGACATCCACTAGAAGAGCTGTTTGAACATGCAGAACCTCAAGCCCCACTCCAAGCCCATATTATCAAGATCCCCAGGGGAGTCGGATGCACAGTAATGTCTGTCATCTATCATGGATTGAATTGTGTCCTTTCAAAAGATATATTGAAGTCCAGGCTAGGTGCGGCTGAAGTCCTAATCCCAGTACCTTAGAATGTGATCTTATTTGGAAATGGAGTTGTTACAGATATCATTAAAACAAAGTCATACTGGAGTTGTGGGGGCCCTTAATCCAAGCACTTTTAAGGGCTAATATCCTTAAGAGACACAGGGAGAGGGTCATATGAAAACACAAAGACACATAGGGAGAAGGCCACTGTGACAAAAGAAGTAGAGGTCAAAGAGTGCCAAGGATTGATAGTCACCTCCATAAGCTAGGAAGAGGCAAGGAAAGATTCTACCCAGAGTCTCAGGAGAGGATGGCCCTGCTGACACTTTGATGTCAGACTCCTAGCCTCTAGAACTGTGAGATAATACATTTCTGTTTTTTTTTAAGCCACCCAGTATGTGGTACTTTGTTACAGCAGCCACAGGAAACTATCACATGTCTTAAGATTCACTGATCTATAATGCATCAATATATAACCACAGCTACCATATCACCAAGCAACTCACAGTAGCACCATTTACAATAGCCAAAATGTGAAAACATCCTAAATAAATGTCCAGCGACAAATAGATTAACAAAATCTATTTGGTGGCGTATCTATACTATGGGATATTATTCATCCATAAAAAGGGATGAAGTACTGATGCATGATAGAACTTGGATCAACCTTGAAAACATTATGCTGAGTGAAAGCCAGATGTAAAAGGATGCATATGTATAATTCTATTTATATGAACTGTCAAGAACAGGCAAATCCATAGGCAGATTAGTGGTTGCCAAGGGCTAACCCTAATGGAGAGTCACTGCTTAATGGGTATGGGGTTTACTCTTGTGGTAATGAATAAATCCTGGAGCTAGGTAGTAGTGATGATTGTGCAATAGTGTGAATGTACTTAATGTTGCTGAATTGTACACCTTAAAATAGGTAAAATGGTAAACTGTATGTTATATGTATTTTGTCACACACAAAATAATAGGTAACCATAGCAAGTCCAAGTGTCCTGTGGCCTGAAGGAATGATGTAGGTTGGGGAGCTGAAGGAAGAACAGCAAGGCTCAATAGCAGGAGGTCAAGAAGGTATAGAGGAGGCTGGAGAGAGGTCGGCCCATCCAGGTCTTTTTAGGTGACACTAAGAATTTTAATCTTTTGTCTAAGAGTAAGAAAAGTGTTTGCCCTCTATTTGCTTCAAATTCAGCAAGTAGTTCAAGGAAAACTGGACTGCTACCAAAGCATCGATGCTCCTACTGTCACCCCCTCTATCTGTTATTCACACAACACGACAGTGATTTTGTTCAAACACAAACCATTTCGTGTCACTCTTCGGCTTAAAATCCTCTAGTGGCTTCCTGTCAATGTACTTGGAATCAAATTTTAACTCTTTGCCCTGACTTACAAAGCATATATGAGGCTGGGCGCAGTGGCTCATGCCTGTAATCCCAGCATTTTGGGAGGACGAGGCAGGTAGATTTCTTGAGCTCAGGAGTTCAAGATGAGCCTGGCCAACATGGCAAAACCCTGTCTCTACTAAAAACACAAAAGTTAGCGAGGTGTCGGGGGCGTGTGCCTGTAATCCTAGCTACTTGGGAAGTGAGGCAGGAGAATTGTTTCAACCTGGGAGACAGAAGTTGCAGTGAGCCAAGATTGTGCCACTGCACTCCAGCTTGGGGGACAGAGTGAGACTCTGTCTCAAAACAAACAAAACAACAACAACAAAAGCATATATAAGCTGGCTCTGACTCTCTGCCACTGCTCCTGCTTTGGACCCATGCTTCAGCTGCTCTGGCCTTCTTTTTGTTCCCAAACGTAGACTTCATTCCACCTCAAAGCCTTCACACTGGCTGATCGTCTCTTTGGAATGCTTTGCCCCCTAAACTTTGAATGGTTGGTCCCTTCCTTCCTGTCATTCAGATCTCAGTATAAATGTCACCTCCTCAGGCCATTTCAAACAAAAATGGTCACCTGGTCACTATATGTTCTAATTCTCTGCATAGCATTTATCTAACATTTTCTTATTTATGAAAATGTGCTTGGGTGGGTGTTTTTTTTCCCTGTGTCTCCTACTAAAATGTAAGCTCTATGGGGAAAGGTATTTTTCTCTTTTGTTCACTATTATCTTCTCCGCACCTAGATACAGTAGAACTCAAAAAACTTGTTGAACTAATGAATGGTGCACAGTAGTCCCTCAAAAGATGATTGTTGACTGGTTGAATAGCGATATGGTATTAGAAATGGGCCTTCAAGTATGAATAAGATGATGGTGTTCCTTGAGGATTGGAGAAGGAGATCATTACGGGCTAGGAACAGCACGAAGAAAGGCAGTTTGAACAAAAGCAAAAAGCTCTCTAAGAAAAGTGACGAGGCACGCTAGAACACTGCTTTGGTTTCAGTGTCCCCTCCAAAACTCATGCTGAAACGTATTCCCCAATGTAGCAGTATTGAGAAATGTAGTCTCTAAGAGGTGATTGGGTCATGAGGGCTCTGCAGTCATGAATGAATTAATTCATTTATAGATTAATAAATTCATGGGTTAATGGATTAATGAGTTATAATGAGAGGGGAACTGGTGGCTTTATAAGGAGAGGAAAAGAGACATAAGCTAGCACATTAGCATGCTCAGCCCCCTCCCCATGTGATGTCCTGCACTGCCTCAGGACTCTGCAGAGTCCCCATCAGCAAGAAGGTTCTTGTTAGATGCAGCCCTGCAACCTTGGACTTCTCAGCCTCCATAACTGTAAGAAATAAATTGCTTTTCTTTATAAATTACCTAGTGTCAGGAATTCTATTATCAGAAAAATAAAACAAACTAATATAAGGACCTAAAGGAGGAAAAAAATACAGAAATGTGGGTTGGGCTGTGGTGGCAGAAAGCCTTGCTCAGGCCAAGTTAGACCCACCAGTGTAGGCAGCAGGGAGCAGTGGACGGTCTCTCAATAGGGGAGCTATGTAATCTGACCTATGTTTTAGGAAAGTAGTTTGGGAAGCAGTATGAAGGAGAGGTTGCCAAAGAAAGAGATGAGAAACATGAAAAGAATTAGGAGGTAATTGCACTTGTCTAATTGGGAGTTGAGGGAGGGCTCCACCTAGGGATGTAACAGTAGGGCTGGAGAGCAGGGGCTAGCCAGAGCGTTGCATCTCAACCCTGGCCATATGAAAATCCACTGGGGAGATTTTAGGTATATGAATGTCTAAGCTCCATCCCCCAGGGATTCTGATTGAATCAGTCTGTTGTGGGGCCCCAACAATTAGTATTTTTGTAAAGCTTCCCAGATGTTCCAACTTGGATTGAAAATCCTGCAACAGGTAAACCATTTGGAAATAGAGTAGAGAGACCTCAGGACTGAATGGATCTGGGCGATGAAGGAAAATATGACTGACTTTTTAGTTTAATTAAACGTTCAGGGCAGCTTTTAAACCACACAACCCTGATAATATATGGTACATCCAAACAGTGGACTAATATACAATTATTAGAAAGTATGTATATGAAGAACACTTGTAGTCACAAAGGAAAAGTTTTGTTGTTAAGAAAAGGGCAAACAACAAAAAATATATATGCAATATGACCTTAACTATGTAAAAACATAGAAAGTTTGGAAAAAAATGTGTGTAAAATTTCCACAGTGGGGCTTCTGGGAAGGGAGGTTATAGGTGATTTTATTTTCTCTTTTTTAATATTTCCTCTATTTCTGAACATTTCTAAATGAACATATATTACATTTGTAATCAGGAAAGAATATTCTATAAAGGAAGCCCTCAACCCAAAAGATCAAAATATTAAAGTTTTAGGATTTAAGGGGGGGAAACCCTCAACTACCTTGAAAACTTGCTGATAGGAAATTTGAACATACAGATTTCATCTGTTCATATGTTTCTATATTTATGAATATATCTGAGTGTTTCTAGGATCCCTACCTGAGCAGCCCAAATGACATTTTACCCGGGGATTCAGAAACATCTACAGGACTGAGACTAGACCTGTCAAGGGTATGTTTGCAAAAGTCATTCAACCGAAGATGGGAAAGAACTGACCTTTGAAAACATGGTTCAAGGAGCCTTTGTTAGTGTCAGAGTTGGGAATGTTCTGAGGATAGCCCAATATAGGCATGAAATGAATGAGGCAGGCCCTCACCTTTCCTCCATAGGGATTTAGCCTTAGGGGTTAATGAGATGATTTTAACAAAGCTAAATTAGAAAAAAAAAATTATGAAGATATTCGGAGCACAAAGTTTTGTAGCCAATATAGCTTGCTTAACAAAAAATAGTGGGGACAAAAGTTACTGTTCTCATTTCAACAGAATGACAGTTGAATGGATCAGGACATGAGGTAGAAACATAAGAGACTCAGACAATTTCCCCAAAACAGAACAACCTAAAAAAGAATTAAAAAGCCAATGCCACTTAGTAACAGGACTGCATTCATGAGACTTAGAGCGGTAGCACTCAAATGATACCTAGGGAGACTGGGTTTATAAATATGA